TGGTTATGTGTTACATTGCTAATCAAAAGGTCAACAATTTGAAACCAGCAACCACTCTTTGGGAGAAATAAGAGGCCTTCTACTCCTGTAAGGAATAAAACACGGGCAGTTTTATTCTGTCCTATCGGATCAGAATTGACTTGATGGCAGTGTTTGGTTCTAAGTAAACTGCCCGTTACTAAATCTCATCTTTGTGCACTAGATACCATCTCATCTCCCAAGCAATTCACCACATCTTGCCTGCATCATCAATTTTTCTATTTTCACTCTATCATTCCCAACAAAAGCATTCTTTGCTCCCACTCAGAAATCACTCATAACTGAAAATATTCTCCTTCCCAGATATCTACAAGTTTTGCTCCCTACCTCCTTTAAGTCAGGAGTCCTGCTGGCACAGTGGATTATGGGTTGTCCTATGAACTGCAAAGTCAGCACTTCAAACCCACCAGCTGCTCTGAGGAAGAAAGATGAGGTTTTTCAGTCCCATGAAGATATAGTCTCTGCAACTCACAGTGGCAATTCTGCCCTATCCTATAGGGTAGATCTGAGTCTGAACAGACTCGATGGCAGCGAGTGTGGGTTTGGGTTTTTCTTCAAGGTCTTGTCCTAATGTCACCTTCTCAGTGAGACTTCCTTTACACAGCCTTTCTTAAAATTACAACCCTCAGGCCGGACACATTTGTTATCTCCCTTTTGTGTGTTATTTTGCTTCATGTTACTTAACTTTAACACACCATAAAGCTTACTTCTCATGATTGACTGTATTGTCTCAATCTAGTTATGCCAGGGGTTTCTTTGCCTTTCTCCCTCTGTGTAGTTCCAGTTAAAATGGGGTAAAAATGAGGGATATTTTACATAAGGCTTGGTAGATGTGAGTGAAGCCGCAGCCGTATTTTCACAATGGGAAGGTCAGTGCACACCATGAGGTAGCGTTGCGGACTCATCATGTGCATTACTTGCTAGCTCATCTTGTACTTTTAGAGAGCCTGCTCCTAGCTTCTCCAGCTCTTGCTTCTCCAATCTTCTACTTTAGCTTCAGCAGCTCCTAGGTTAGATAAGTGTTTAGGTCTATAACAAAGGGCATGCGCTTCTGCTCCAGGGGAATCCAGCAATCAAAGTTGGAGCCTAGGAAGCAAGAAGTGGTCCTTTGAGAATCCATTTGTTGTTCTTATTGTTTCCATTCCACAATTGTGTAATATCAAATTTCTATAATATATAAATATATATATGTGTATGTGTGCCTCAAAAAGAACATGGAAAAATTCCATTATCTTTTTCATATCACTTTTTCCATGAACTTTTTGGAACTCCCTTATATACTTATTCCTTATTCCTACTCAGTCGGTTCTGACTCATAGGGACTAAATCAGAGAAAATAGAACTGGCCCTGTGAATTTCTGAGATGGTCACTCTTTATTGGGAGTTGAAAGCCTCCTCCTTCTCTTGAAGCGAAGCTGGTGGTTTCAAATTGCTAACCTTTTGGTTAGTGGCCCAACCTGTAA